ACTAGCAAATTGAATCCAACAGTACATTAAGTTTATTCACCATGACCAACTGGGATTTATCTCTGGGATGCAAGGCCGGTTCAACACTCCTAAAGGAATCAATGTGATTCATCATATCAGCAAGAGAAAAACCAAGAACCATATGATCCTCTCAATAGATGCAGAGAAAGCATCTGACAAAATACAGCATCCATTCCTGATCAAAACTCTTCAGAGTGTCAAGACAGAGAGAGCATTCCTCAGCATCTTAAAAGCCATCTATGAAAAGCCCACAGCAAATATCGTTCTCAATGGAGAAACACTGGGAGCCTTTCCCCTAAGATAAGGAACAAGACAGGGATGTTCACTCTCACCAGTGCTATTCGACATAGTATTAGAAGTCCTAGCCTCAGCAATCAGGCAACAAAAAGATATTAAAGGCATTCAAATTGGCAAAGAAGAAGTCAAACTCTCCCTCTTCGCAGATGACATGATACTGTGCATAGAAAACCCAAAAGCCTCCACCCCAAGATTGCTAGAACTCATACAGCAATTCAGCAGTGTGGCAGGATACAAAGTCAATGCCCAGAAATCAATGGCATTTCTATACACTAACAATGAGACTGAAGAAAGAGAAATTTAGGAGTCAATCCCATTTACAATTGCACCCAAAAGCATAAGATACCTAGGAATAAACCTAACCAAAGAGGCAAATGATCTGTACCCTAAAAGCTACAGAACACTTCTGAAAGAGATTGAGGAAGACACAAAGAGATGGAAAAATATTCCATCCTCATGGATTGGCTGAATTAATATTGTTAAAATGTCAATGCTACTCAGGGCGATTTACACATTGAATGCACTCCCTATCAAATTACCATGGTCTTTCTTCAGAGAGTTGGAACAAATCACCTTAAGATTTGTGTGGAATCAGAAAAGACCCCAAATAGCCAGGGGAGTTTTAAAAAAGAAAACCATATCTGGGGGCATCACAATGCCAGATTTCAGGTTGTACTACAAAGCTGTGGTCATCAAGACAGTGTGGTGCTTGCACAAAAACAGACACGTAGATCAATTGAAGAGAACAGAGAATGCAGTAGTGGACCCCGAACTCTACGTTCAACTAATATTTGAAAAAAGAGGAAAGACTATGCACTGGAAGGAATACAGCATCTTCAATAAATGGTGCTGGGCAAATTGGACATCCACATGCAGAAGAATGAAACTAGACCAATCTCTTACACCATACACAAAGAGAACCTAAAAATGTTGAACGATCTGCATGTGAGAGAAGATTCCATCAAAATCCTAGAGAACACAGGCAACACCCTTTTTGAACTCGGCCACAGCAACTTCTTGCAAGATACATCCACGAATGTAAGAGAAACAAAAGCAAAAATGAATTATTGGGACTTCATCAAGGTAAGAGGCTTCTGCACAGCCAAAGAAACAGTCAACAAAACTAAGACAGCCTAAAGACGGGAAAAGATATTTGCAAATGACGTATCAGATAAAGGGCTCGTGTCCAAAATCTATAAAGAACTTTTAAACTCAACAGGAAAGAAACAAACAATCCAATCCTGAAATGGGTAAACGACATGTACAGAAATTTCACAGAGGAAGACATAGACATGGTCAACAAGCACGTGAGAAAATGCTCCGCATCACTCCCATCAGAGAAATACAAATCAAAACCACAATGAGATACCACCTCACACCAGTGAGAATGGGGAAAATTAACAAGGCAGGAAACAACTAATGTTGGATGGATGTGGAAAAAGGGGAACCCTCTTGCACTGTTGGTGGGAATGTGAACTGGTGCAGCCACTCTGGAAAACTGTGTGGAGTTCCTCAGAGTTCCTAAGATCTGCCCTACAACCAGTAATTGCATTGCTGGAGATTTACCCTGAAAGATACAGATGCAGTGAAACGCCAGGACACCTGTACCCTGATATTTATAGCAGCAATGTCCACAATAGCCAAACTGTGGAAGGAGCCTCGGTGTCCATCAAAAGATGAATGGACAAAGAAGATGTGGTATATGTATACAATGGAATATTACTCAGTCATTAGAAGGGACAAATACCCACCTTTCGTCTCTTTGTGGAGGCACCTGGAGGGTATTATGCTGAAAGAAATAAGTCAGTCGGAAAAGGACATATATTATGTGGTCTCAGTCATTTGGGCAATATAAAAATTAGTGAAAGGGAATAAATGGAAAGGAGAGAAAATTAGTGAAAAATATCGGTGAGGGTAACAGACCATGAGAGACTCCTGACTCTGGGAAATGAACAAGGGGTAGTGGAAGGGAAGGTGGGCGGGGGGTTGGGGTGACTGGGTGATGGGCACTGAGGGGGGCACTTGGCAGGATGAGCACTGGGTGTTATGTTATATGTTGGCAAATTTAACTCCAATTAAAAAGTTATAAAAAAGAAAATTAGGGTGTAAATCATAGTAGGTGAACACAGTACATTTTTTTTCTGTCTTCCTCCCACTAAGACATAGTTTCATGTTTTGCTCACTGCTGTATATTCAATATATAAAACAGAATCAGAAGTATGATGAAATCTTTCTCTGATTAACAAGCTGTGGATATCCCCAAATCCCTTTAAAATAAGTCCTATGGCCAGAGGTGTAAGGGTAGTGATGACTGTCTTCCTTCCCCCACTAAGATATATGCTCTAAGACATCAAGAACTTTGCCTAGATTGTTTGCCGTTCAATCCTCAGGTCCTAGGGCAGGGCTGAGCCTCTATCTGATTATGTATTAATAACCTAATGCCAATGCCATCATTAAACAATATAATACTTGGTTTAAGACTTGGGGCCTAGTGGGAGAACAGGGGCTAAAAAGCATTATTATATATCTGAAAAGGATATGCATTTCTATTTTTTGTCATGTAACATATACTTTAACCCGTTATTTATATCATGTTTTTTATTATTCTGTGACGTTTTATATTCACCTTATATCTTCATTATTGGACTGAAGGCTACTTAAAGGATAAAAGACAGGAATGCCTGGGTCGCTCAGGGGTTGAGAGTCTGCTCAGGGTGTGAACCTGGGATCCAGGGATCCCCACAACAGGCAGGGAGGAGCCTCTTTCTCCCTCTGCCTGTATCTCTGCCTCTCTCTTGGTGTCTCTCATGAATAAATAAATAAAATCTTTTTTAAAAGGATAAAAGACCATGTGTTAAGAAAGGAAGGGTTGTTTTGTTTTGTTTTTTACTGCTACATCCCAAACTCTTTAAACAGTACCAGGATTAGGGCTAACTTTCCTCTGAGTGTCTGTCTGAATGTCAGGTGGCCCCAATATTATCATTGAAAATGTAAGGCCTGTTTCTGGTCTTGAGGTCAGGTTTGGTAGTAGATATCTATCTCAGCTACGACCAAGATACAAATTCTATGAGAAATGAAATTTTGTCTTTTTTAGTCAGTAGCCAGTGCTGTGGCTAGGGCCAAGCATTCCTGAGTGTCAAAAGTGGTAAAAGAATAGAAAATTTTTTTTCTATAATAAAAAAGAAAATAAATTCCATATGACTTAAAATTTCCCATTTATGTCAAAATTTTTAAAAGCACAAAAACCAATGCTATCATCAATTATGGTTATATCTGAAGTAAATGTGTAAGACATAGCCAAGATTCACACTAAATTCATATTATTGTTTCCTTCAGCAGGGGAAGCAAAGCAGAAGAGCAAGTATTGGGAAAAGGATTTATTATATGTAATGTTCTTACTTAAAAAAATACATAAATCTATATCTAAAGCAAATACGCCAAAATGTTGATAAATTTAATTACTTAAATATTGACATTGTTAAAAAAATATTGACATTGTTGATTTGGGGCAAAAGTAAACAAATATCATATTTCACATACTTTCCATATTATGTTTTAATTTTTCAAAATAAAATACAAAGAGGTTTTATAACTCTTTAAAACACCATTATAACTGATTCATTATAATATTTTCAATATTGAACATATTTAGGAAATATGCATATGCAATATGCAAGATCATAAAGCATCTGAAAAATACAATCAAGAAGCTTGATAATAGAGAAAATTTTAAATTTTATTTTTTACAGAAACTATACATTCCTTTTTAATAGAAAGCTTAAATAAACCAATTACCATTGGAGAGATAAGAAGGCTGACTAAGGATCCCATCAAAATTGTTACCAGGATTAAATTGTTTTATAGCTTAGTACTAGCTAATTAAAAAAAACCTGGAATTTGAAATAGAAAAATTTAAAAAAAGAAAAACAATTCCAATGCTTTTTAAGTTATTTCAGACCACAAAAAAGACTGAAAAGTCAACAATTCATTTTTAAAACTAGCACGATTTTAAAAATAAAACTTGATAAAGACAGTGTAAGAAAGAAAAAAAATACAATTTCAGTTTGAATTATAAATGCAATAATTCTAAATAAAATATTAGCAAATAAAACTCAGCAATATATCAAATGATTATTACAACATGACCAAGTAGGATTTATTCCAGAAACACAAGTTTGGTTCAACATCAAATACTTACTCCTCTAATTCATTATATCAACAAATTAAAGGAAAACAAAATCATATGATTTTGTCAATGGATGCTGAAAGACATTAGATAACTTTCAGGAGCCACTTTTAGTAAGCCCCTTAATGGAAACAGGAATTTTTTATTTATTTAAATTAAAAAAATTTTTTTAAACAGGAATTTTTTTAAAAATGGAATAAAATAAACTCCTTAAACATTCTAATGGTTAGTGACTATTTGCCAATAACCAATAGCAAATGTCATATTAATAGCACTAAAGACAATTGTGTGAAAATTAATACCAGAGAAGCATATCTGTCATAATCATTAGTTAACATTACTTTGAATAAATAAAATTATCTTCATTTGCAGATAAAATTACTGTATACCTACAAGACTGAAAATATTCTAAATATTCCATTTTTAAGTGTAATAAGAGACTTTAGTAAGCTGATTCAATATAAGGTAAAAATTTATTTAAATGATCTGTGGTTTGTCTATATTGTTAAAAATAAAAAGTTACAAATGAGGAGGAAAAAACATCCAATTCAAAATGTCAAAATGTGACAAAATCTGTAAAAATATTTAGAAATAAATTTAATCAGATATAATGGATCCTTATGAAGAACATAACAAAACCAAAACCAAAAGATTTTAATGATGTACCACAACTCTGGAGCCTTGAGGGTTAATATCATTAAAATTGTCCTCTAAATAGAAATGTAGGAAAAAACAAATAGAAATGTAGAAATGTAACACAATTCTAGGATATTAGGATTTTTAAAATGTGGAAAGAATGCTTTCAATTTTTATAGAAAGAATGAATGGCTAGAACAATTTATATAAAAGAAGAAATGGAAAACAAAACAAAATACCTCATGCTTTACCAGAGTTCAAAATTTATGGTCAAGCCACTAGAGTTAAATGATTAGAATACTGACTCACAAACTTGAAAATGGGTGGTTTATTTAATAAATGATCAGGAATCCAATGTGAACAAAATGTATATCTGAACCTTCATCTTATACCATATACAAAATAAACTCCAGATGGAGTTAAAGCCTTAAAATTAATGAAAATTTTAGAAAAAAAATGTAGGTGAATATTTGCATGACATTTATCTGAAAAAGACAGTAAACTCAAAAGCCAAAAAGTAGGTAGTAGTCTACCTAAAAATTAAAAATGACAGCAACAATTGTAAAGTAAAAGATACCATCAATACAGTTAAGATCAATGACAGAATGTGAAAAATACAAATGTGCTACAAATGATTAATATGTACCCTAGAGAAATGTAGTAAGAACTCCTACAAATTTATAAGAACAAAACTTCAATAAACAAATGAGCAAAGGATAAGTACTGGCAAATCACAAAAACGAAAAATCCAAATAGTCAAACAAACCTCCTTGAATGTCAATTAAAAATATTATGTAATTTTTCACCCTCCAGATTTGCAAACTTGAAAGAGTGCTGGAGAGGATACTGGGAAATGAGCACTGTCATTTTGTAATATCCTTTAAAATTAAATATACCTCCTACCTAGCAATCCCATTTCTGGGGATCTACCCAAAAGAAATAAAAGCACCAGTATTTATAGCAGCAGTGTTATGATGAAAAAAGGGAAGGAAATAATTTAAGTGACCATCAATAATAGAATGGTTGAATTCCTTTTTGGTTTATAAATATATTGTATATGCAGCTGCTAGAGGGAAGGAGAGAGAGAAGAGAAATGGGTGATTTATTTAACAAATGTGATGGCATAATCAGTACGTGATATGAACAAAATGTGTAATTAGACCTCTATATTATACCATTTACAAAAATAAATTCCAGAGGCATAGGGGGTCTGGGAGAGGAGAGGAGGGAAAGGGGAGAGGGAAGGAGAGAGAGAAACTTGCAACTAATGATTAGAAAAGATACCATGGATATTCCAAATGTGAAAAGCAATTACAGAGAAATGATGTGGCTTTTCATTTTTACAGAAGAGACTGCAACAAACTTTCTGTAAGTGGATGAGGAAAACGTGGAAGATTATATATCATGTTCTTAATACATGTTACATGGGAAGAAGAGGGGAGATAAAGTAGGGGAAAGAATCTGGAGTGGGGTTACACCAATAATTTTTCTTAGTTTTTCATTGTTCCAATGGTCATGAATACTTTTCGATTTTCTATTAACCCCCAAATTTAATCTTCAATTACAGAACAAGGCAATTATCAAAAGTACCAACATACGCTTGGGACAAAACCGTGGGACTAGTCCATGTAAAATTTGGAGGCACAATAAGTAACAACTAATAAATTCCTGAATCTCTGACACCAACATTGTTCTCAAAAATTCACAATTACAAGAACATGACATATTTTACATCGAATAGTTCCACGACTTTTGCAAAGGGCACAATGAATTTAGGGGGTTTTTACCAAGCCATAGACATAAATATGAATATCATCATCAAACTTAATGAAGTAGACGGATGGCTTGGCCACCACTTGATGGATAAAAATGCCGGTTCTCTTGGACCCGTCATCTTTGGCGTGTTCTACTTGCTTGCCCACAAGACTGTCGACCACTTCTCCAGGCTCCCGTTCTGCTGTAGGAAAATAGTAGTTGGAATCTGGAATGATGCGCAGGTCACCATCTTTGTAGTCATCCAGCAGTGTGTACATATAAAGGACAGGATCTTTCTCATAAGTGATGTAAAACCAAGTGTCCATCACAGGGGCTCGCGCCAGGACCATGCCCTTCCATTCATCTTTCGTACCGTGTTCACCCTCAAATACATGCCCCACTGCTTTGCCAATCAGGGAATCTGCCAGACGCGAATCAATGCGAGGAGTTGGCACTCTTTCGGGAAGGATTTCTAGCGCTAAAACTCTTTTATCTCGGTGCAGCTCTAGTCCATACACACTATCTTTGCCATCATATTTGATGATGTAGAGAGTGGGCTTCACGGAAACCTGCTCGAGCACTGTACCCTTCCACTGCTCCACGGGCTCATTGCCTTCCTTCCAGCCGTGTTGAATGCGGCAGCCCACGATGTTCCTACGCGTGAGGAAAGTGGGCTTGCGCCTCTGCTTCCTGTGGGTGTGCCTTTTCTTCATCAAGTATGCAGAGACGCCATCGACACCCATCGGGGGCACAGTTGGGGGTGACATGGCTCAGGGTTTAAGGAGGCTCAAGCAAAGCTGCCACTTGCTCAATTAAGCTGACAAAAAGTCAACACTATCCAATATGAGATCTTTTTTCGTGATCTCCGTGTCCGTCTTCCCTTCCCCAAGCGCAAGGCTCTCACCAAGGCTTGACACAAATTCTCTGACCGTGGGCACTGGGACAGCGTGGGCCTTTTGACAGGGTTCTTTCCCGCCCAGGAGAAGTGTCTGCAGCAGTGGCGGTAGCCGCAGGAGATGGCGGGCTAGTTTGTACTGCCTACGCTTTGCACCCGCCCCAACTCCCAACCCTGAGTCCCAGAATTGACCACTTAGCTGTTATCGATGGTGCTGCAGCTGCAAAACGGTGATTGAGGAGGCGACACGAAAGGTAGGCAAGGGATAAGAGAGATGACTGCAGCAGCAAAGGCGCAGGCAGCGGTGGGTCTCTGACAAGTCCGCGCGGCCTCGGCTTTGCAGCGCTGCTCTGCTTGGCCTAGCTCGGGCGCCGGGGTTTTTGCTGCTTCAGGAATCCGACTCCGCTGAGCCTGCCTGCGCCTCGGCCCCGCCCCCTGCCATTCGGTCTTCCGCTTGGCCCGCAGCTGCAGGGCGGGTCAGTGCGCGCACCCGCTTTCAAAACACACAGTCACAGGCTCTAGCTCAATTTCCTCACGCACTTCCGATCGCTTTCCTCAAACTGGAGCCAGACAGGCCGGCTCCCCTGGTCCTTCCTTCTGGCCCCCTTTCGTCCGTCAGCCTTCTCCACAGCCACTCCATCTGCTTTCTATCTTACAGGAATTCCTTACAATTTAAAAAATATATTCAGTACAGTACACTTATACACAAACATAATTTGTATGTACAAATTATTTTCTTTCAGTTTAAGGAATATGAGAGCAGTGAAGAAAAAGCCTATGCACAGCCCACCATCTCGATCCAAACTCCCCTTTATATCTTCTACCTGATCACTCCCAGTCATGCCTTTTTTAATGATCTTTTCTGAATGTAAAGAAATGTACTGACATTGAGAATTCCTGAAATTCAGCGAAATAAAAGACAAAACTAACTTTAATCTTACTATCTAGACATACAGTAAAATGTTAGGCCTGATTTCTTTCTCATTAATAAGTCTATACTTATATTTTACAAAATTGGGATATTTCATATGTTTATTGCTTAATTTTTCCCCTATATATCAAGAGTATTTTCCAAGCTTATTAAATACCCTGAAAGCAGGATTTTTTAATAACCTCATGTTTCTTTGTATGGATGGCCCATTATTTATGTTAAATGACCTATGACAAAAGAAACAATGAAGTTAATTTACCTTCACATATGGATTTATTGAGCTAGTATAAACCATACTTACAAATAATATTTAATGTCATGGAAATCCACATATGAGATAAGAACGGTCTGTGAAAAAGCAAGCTATTGAGAAAATATTGTGGAAAATCAAATTTTGTAGAGAGAACAACCTTATGTCATCACAGATAAAATAAAGGCCATTAATTTATCTAGAAATGTAGAAAGGTAGGGGAGAGAGTTGCAAGATGACAATACAGGCTGCCTCCACATTCATACCTTCCAAGGCTGGGACAGGAAAACCTAGTCTTTGTACCATTTATTTTTTTTAAAGATTTTATTTATTTATTCATGAGAGGCACAGAAAGAAAGAGAGGCAGAGACACAGGCAGAGGGAGAAGCAGGCTCCATTCAGGGAGCCTCATGTGGGACTTGATCCCAGGACTCCAGGATCACTCCCTGGGCCAAAGGCAGGTGCCAAACCGCTGAGCCACCCAGGGATCCCCTTGTACCATTTAATAGCTAAAAGGGCAGAATATCCTGGATCCCCCAATTCTCCATGTTTCCCAGGCCAAAGACTTTGAATATGGGATAATTCTGCAATACTACACATTGAGAAAGTAATTCTAAGGAAGCAAGAAAACTACATGCACTAAGAGGTACTTCTATACTCTTTAGAATGACATAGTGGCGTATACATATTCACATATATGTACAACTTACACAGTGAGTAAAAGAAGGCATGTGTAAATGTCATGCCATTATGTTCCACAAAGACCGTGTTCCAAGTAATTTCCCATACCAAGAAATGCCAAGCTCTTTTTGCTTAAAAAAGCAGTTGACAGGTAGGAGAAGAAGACTACCAGGTCACACAAATGGAGGGCAAACAATTCACTCAGGCCCTTTGGTTATATACTTCATGGGAATTCTGCAAAGCAGCCTGAAAAGACAATTTCTAGTATCCTTTCTTCTCTAGAACTATGATTCTAATGTTAAATCGTTATCCAGTGTTACAAATTCAGGTTCAGTGGACCTTACCACACTATGATATAATGTGTATTTTGTATATCTGCTTACTTGACTATAAAACCATTCAAGAAAGAACTTTTATCTTGCATGTCAAGTATCTTACACAGAGTAGGAACTCAATAAATATTTATTAAATAAATAAATAAGTGGTTTTAGCTGCCTTGCTCCAATCCAAAGAAATCCTCTCTAATGAAACAAGTACTCTTACACAGTCTCTATAAAGTCCTAGTGACTCAAAATCTCTCACAGCAGCTTTATTTATCTCTTCAAAACCCCCAGAAATCTGAAAATGATTAAGAGTGCCATCAACCAACAATATGTGGATAATAATAACATTTATCTCAAAGGATAGCTGTAAAGACTAAATAAAATAAATAAAAGTACATTTCTTAGCACATAAATCACTCATGGTAAGTACTTGTGATCTCCTAACCAGTCATCCCCTAAAATAAGCCCCTTTTCTTACCAGGTCTGTCTATAAACCACCTGGCTCATGTCCCACCTCTAAACCTTTGCTCCATTTTACACTCAGAACATTTTGCTCAGAACCTGAGCATAAATCAAGAAGGGATTATGGCAGGATTTTGTCCCTTATAGCCAGTTTCAGAGCAATCTTTCAAATGCTGTAATTTTCTGGAAGCCCAAATTCTGGATAAATTAAACTATTATTGGAAATAAATTTGGGAGATACAGTGATAATTATAATTGGATGGCTGGTGGAGATAGGCATAAATGTTGTTAATTCCATTGTACAAGTCAGATTATAATACATATTATGACAGGTACAAATTAAGCACTGGGGACCCAAAGGAGGTAGTGATTTGTTAGGACGGGGAGATTGGAAAATACAACTTGAAAGAGCAATAAAACAAAAGGAAGACATTTAGAAGGTGGTAGAATATTGAGGCCTTTTAAGTCTAAGTATAAAACGGCTGAAGGAAAGGCACAGAGGGATGCATGGGCATAGGATATATGAAAAGCTGGTCAGAAGCTGGTAGCTGGAGCACAGAGTATGCTAGACTAAAAAACAAGGTTATGTGATTTGTGGTGGGAAACAAGCTTAGTTAACAGCCTCAAATGCAGGCAATTCATCTTCCATCCACTGCAGGAATTTGATCTTCTATCCACTGTTAAGTGGAGGCAGAAGATGTTCCAATTCCTCTGATACAGTAGTGTTGGCAGGACCAACTAGTGAGCTGATTTTCCATGACCTATCTGGTAGAAGCAGGCAGTGATTCCCTAAGATGGCAGTGCTTCCCTGTCACAGTAGTTACTATAAGTGGTGCTGAGCACAGAACTGATCTTCCATCCCCCACTCAGCAGAAGCAAGCAATATGGTGTTCTGATTTCCTTGTGTAGTATCAGTGAGGTTCAATGATATGTTGTTCCTAGTGACCTCTATTCTATAGCCTCTTCTCACCCTGCCCCCATATCAACACAACAGCAATGGAACTATGAATAACAGAACATGGCAGGGCTAGTCAGCACTCCAATTTCCCACAATCTTGGTGTTAGTGAAAGCCAGTGAGGAGCTGAAAGTACTTCCCTATCTACCATCAATGAGACTGAATCAGGAGAATAAGATGGAACGAGATGGCACTCAACTTTCCCTATACCTTTGGTGTTGGTGAGATCCACTGGTCAGATAAGCATCTACATCCACTTGGAGGCAGTGAGATGGTATGAGTCAGTACCCAACTTTCACCATGGCAGATCAGACAAGGGAGTTAAACTTCTATTTCACACATGTGCAATGAGGCAGTGTATGTCAGTGTTCTACTTTTGCAAAGGAGGGTGTCAGGAAATCTCACTAGAAGTTGACATGTACACGCACCTGACCATCCAGCTACATCACAACAGAGACACTATCTGATTTAAAAAACAAAGGTTAGATTACAGAGCCTCATATTATAATATCAAAAATGACAAGAATGTGATGAAAATGACAAGTCATACAAAGATCGAGGGAAATCACAACTTGAATGATGGAAGACAATAGATGTCAAGACTGAGATAAATCAAGCATTGAAATTATCTGAAACAGATTCTAAAGCAGCTATCACAAAAATGCTTCAATAAGCAAACATTAATTATCTCGAAACAAATGGAAAAAGAGAAAACCTCAGCAAATAATGGAAGGTATAAAAAAAGAGCCAAACAGAAACTTTAGAATAGACAATAAAATAAAAATAAAGATCTCCTGGGATTGGAACAATTTTTAAAAATGTTTTCCAGTATAGTCAATATACATTTTTAAAGACTTATTTATTTATTCGAGAAAGTGAGTGAGAGAAAGAGTGGGGGGAAGGGGGAGTGGAGGAGGGAGAGAGAGAATCTCAAGCTGGTTCTGAGCTGAGCATGGAGCTGCTGGAATGCTTGATCTCATGACCATGAGATCATGACCTGAGCTGAATACAAGAGTTTGACACTTAACTGACTGAACCAACCTAGGCGTCTCTACATTGTTATATCAGTATCAAGTATGAAAGGTAGTGATTCAACAATTCAATACATCACGAAAGTACTTATCACAAGTGCACTCCTTAATCCACATTACCTATGTCTCTCATCTCCCCATTCACTGCCCCTCTGGTAACCATCAATTTGTTCTTTATAATTAAGAGTGGGGTTTTTTTGGCTTCTCTCTCTCTCTCTTTCTCTTACTCTCTCTTTTTATCCTCCACCCCCTTTGCTCATTTGTTTTGTTTCATGAATTCTACATATGAATGAAATCATATGGTATTTGACTTTCTCTGACTGAATTATTTCACTTGACATTATACTCTAGCTACATCCATGTCACTGCAAACAGCAAGATTTAATTCCTGATTATGGCCAAATAATATTCTATTGTATTAAGTACTCCATCTTTTTAAAAATATTTTATTTATTTATTCATGAGAGAGACAGAGAAAGAGAGAGGCAGAGACACAGGCAGAGGGAGAAGCAGGCTCCATGCAGAGAGCCCGATGTGGGACTCGATCTGGGGACTCCAGGATCACGCCCTGAACCAAAGGCAGACGCTTAACTGCTGAGCCACCCAGGCATCCCTACTCCATCTTTTTTTATCCATTCATTTGTCAGTGTACATGTGGGGTGCTTCCATAATTTGGCTATTATAAATAATGCTGCTATAAACATAGGGATGCATGTATCTCCTTGAATTAGTGTTTTTGTATTTTTAGGGTAAGTACCCATTAGAACAATTACTGGATTATAGAGCAATTTTATTTCTAACTTTCTGAGGACATGCCATAC